CACGTGGGCCTCGCTCAGCCGCTTCCAATCCACGCCTTCCACTGGTCACCAAATCACATTTACTGTTGAGGGCTGCTCCTTTCCCTTTGTAGGAGGGAGAACGGAGTGCATCCAGCTTAGCGTGGCGTTTCGTACAGTTGGAGGAGATCTATGCCTGAGAAGAGGGAACCATATCCCGATGAAACTCCTGTTTGCTTTCCTAAGGTGTCTTCACAACTGACTTACTGACGAAACTGGAGTTTCCTAAGTTTCTGGATGAAAGATGGAGAGGATGCAGGAATCCCCTGTGGCTGTGAGTGCAGCATTATGGGTTATGTGGTCCCATGACCGTTATCAGCAGGCAGTCGTGTTGGTGTGGTTTGGTACCCCATATGTGTAGGGTTGAGGTAGAATAGAATAGACCAGGGGGAAGGGACCCACAGAGACCATCAACTCCAACTGCCTGACTGCTTCAGTGCTATACTGACTGTTAAAGCAGTTCATTGAGGGCATTGTCCAGATGCCTCCTGAACACGGGACATCACCCACCTCTCTGGATGTGTGTTGCAGCATCTGACCACTCATGGTTGGTGAATGCTTCCAAATGCCAGATCTGAGCCTTCCCAGGGACAGCGCTGTGTCCTTCCCACCCATGCTACCATTGGCTGCCAGGAGATCAGAACGTCCCTCTCCATTTCCCCTCCTTGGGGACTTTGCTTTATGGTCACAGAATCACAGAATTGTAGGGGTTGGAAGGGAGCTCCAGAGCTCATCGAGTCCAACCCCCTGCCAAAGCAGTTCCTACAGCAGGTCGCACAGGTCGGCATCCAGGCAGGTCTGGAACATCTCCAGAGCAGGAGACTCCACCACCTCCATGGACAGCCTGCTCCAGTGAACAGTGGGACCCATAGAGACACACTGGGACCCATAGAGACCCATAGAGACCCATTGGGACCCATAGACTCCCCCACCTCCCTGGCAGCCTGTTCCAGTGCTCCTCCCCTCACTGCACAGCCATTCCTTCACACATTGGTGCAGAACTTCCTGTGCTGCAGTTTCCAGCCATTTCCCCTTGTCCTGTCTCCACTCCCCACTGAACAGAGTCCGGCCTCGCCATTCTGCCCCCCACACCTCAGATATTTACAGACCTGGATCAGGTCCCCTCTCAGCCTTCTTTCCTCCAGGCTGCACAGACCCAGTTCACTCAGCCTTTCCCCATAGCAGAGATGCTCCAGGCCCCTCACCATCTTTTGGCCCTCCGCTGGACTCTTCCCAAGAGATCCCTGTCTGTTTTGTGCTGGGGAGCCCAGAACTGGACGCAGTGCTCCAGGTGAGGCCTCACAGGGCAGAGCAGAGGGGGAGGATCGCCTCCCTCCACCTGCTGGCCACGCTCCTTGCAATGCACCCCAGGATGCCATTGGCCCTCTTGGCCACAAGGGCACACTGCTGGCTCATGGCAACCTGCCGTCCACCAGGACACCCAGGTCCCTCTCCACAGAGCTCCCCTCCAGCAGCTCATCCCCCAGCCTGTACTGGTGCATGCAATTATTCCTCCGCAGATGCAAGACTCTACATTTGCTTTTGTTAAACCTCATCTGGTTATGGTCAGTGCTTTGCTGTTCTCTGGACAAAGCAGACCTGAGCAACGTGCTTTCAGGCTAAGATACTGTGACCCTGGTGTAGGAATCCTCCCAAAATCACAGAATCACAGAACGGCCAGGGTTGGAAGGGACTTCAAGGATCATGAATCTCCAACCCCCCAACCACATGCAGGGCCACCAACCTCCACATTTAATACTGGACCAAAAGCTGGGGACCTTGTCTTTGTGAGCAAAGTCTCCACTCTGCCGGAGGTGGTATTTCTCAGACACTTCCATCCCTCCTGACCACGGTCCCCCCTCTCTCCTTAGGTGCTGCCCCTGCATTCCAGCTCTGTGCAGTGAGCTCTGCCTCCCCCACCCCCATCTGGATGCTGCCTTTCCCATTTTGCTCAGGCTCAGCTGAAGGCAGCGTACATCAAATGCTGAAGTGGGAAGTCTCAGTAATTATTCACTCTGCATGTCTTGAGTTAAGCACCGCCGCTGCGTTGCTTTACTTAAAGTCTCAATAGCTGCAAAGCCAAACGTCCCCTCTCCTGGATGCTTGGAAAACCCTGCTCTTCAAAAACCTTCATCCTTTCTTTGCTCAGAATACTCCTATATTGAATTTTTAACCCAGAGCTTTCAGGTCTATCAGCAAAATGATGGTGATGTGAACAGCACTCCAACTGAGGTTTCAAGAGAAGGAACAAATAAATGGCCAGATTTCCTGCGCTTGTGTTTAGCAAAGATAGCACTTATGCACTGCAGCTTTTTCTATTTTTAATTTCTCATCTCTCCCTTGCAAAATCACTGTAGTAAATCTATCCTTTTTTTAGTCAAAACAGCATTGCTATTAGCTGTGCAGTTTCATCCTCTGGGTCTCTGGGGTAAGGCTGACAGAGATACTGCAAATAGCCCCGGACACCAAATGTTCCTCTCCACGTGGCCAGGCCTTCAGAGGTTTGGCTAATTGCAAACAGCCTTTATTCAACATCCTGCTATAAGAGCAGGGGGGGACCCATACCCATCAGGTTCTGAAAGCTCCATCCTTCCCCATCTGAAGCTTTCTTCTTGAGCCACTCACATGCAACAGACAAATTTCCTTCCTCCCAGCCCGAAGGCTGTTGAAAACTGCAGCATTACCATCTCAGTGACTTTGCAGTACAAAACTGATTCACTCCTTCTCAGTTTCTGCTATGTTTTTTTTCCTTCACCTCTTGACCCAGGGAAAAGAATATCCCTGCAGAAATTATTTATGGGTCGTTATGGAGCGTCCTCCCATGGGGACCTCCAAGGCCTGTCTGGATGCTGACCTGTGTGACCTATTGCAGGGTGCCTGCTTTTGCAGAGGGGTTGGACTCAATGATCTCTTGAGATCCCTTCCAATCCCTGCAGTCCACGACTGTGTGATCATCCACGGCCCCACTCAACGTATGGAAGTTAATGCAACCTGCACGGTTTCCAGGAAGCAGAGGTTTCCCTTTGCTCTGAGCTGACTCACGTAAGGGTGAGAGGATGCTGTCTGAGGTGGCAGTTTTAGAAGTTCAGAAAGGGGACAGATCTGTGTTGTGGACGAGGCGGATGAGAGAGATTTGCCCCTTTCATCTGGACCACCTGTGCTTACTCTTAGTTTCTCTTTCCAGCGTGTGTTGAGCTCTCCCTTCTCAGGGCACACAGCAGCCACGGCCCAGGACCTGTCACTCAACAGCCACCTTTGGGAAGTGACGTTGGCCACTGCTCTCAGTCACAGGGTTTCAATTTTGAGTGGTGCTGCGTGGAGCCAGCAGTTGGAGCCAGCGATCCTTGGGGGTCCCTTCCCACTCTGGATGTTCAGTGGTTCTATGAGTTCCTTCCTTCTGCCATTAGCATGGGACTTCTGCCTCCTCCGTCCCACCCTGGTAACTCCTGCCTCAGTGCTGAGTTCCCTGGAGATGCCAGAGGTCTCAGCCAGTCCCACCAGAGCTGCTCATGCCTTGTTGGACAAGAAGTTCTTTACCATGAGAGCGGTGAGGGGCTGGAACAGCTGCCCAGAGAGGCTGCGATGCCCCGTCCATCCCTGGAGGTGTTGGAGGCCAGGTTGGATGGGGCCCTGGGCAGCCTGGGCTGCTGTGAAATGGGGAGGTTGGTGGCCCTGCAGGGGGGGGTTGGAGCTTCGTGATCCTTGAGATCCCTTCCAACCCAAACCATTCTGTGATCCTGTGGACAGTAATCAGTACTGAGCAGAGCAGCAGCCAAGGAACAGAGGAATGAGAAGAAATGGTTGCATTCACAAAGGCACTTTCTTGGCTGTGCGCAGCAGTGCAAAGGAACTTCTGTAGGTTCTCTGGAGCTGCAGCCATTCCCCCTCCTGGCCTCCCCAGCAAAGCACTCTCTTGTCTCCATCATGTCCTGGAAGGGTTCAGGTCTGCTCTGCTCCCCATTCAGGTTTTGGGCGGCATCTGCTGTGCTTCTTTCCCTTTTCTCTTACAGGCTTTGTGCACTTTGATTGCTTTAAGCGTCTGTTTGCATATGCACAGTTCCAGAAATTAGCAGAGTGTAACCACAAAAATCCTGGATTAGAGAGCGACCAGATGAGATTTAGCACTGGGGGAGGGCAGAGTGTTGAAGGGGATTTCTGTAGGCTTTCCACTGCCTGCTCCAATTATAACCCCAAGTAGAGCAAGTCCTCGTGCACAGTGTGCTCTCCGGACATGGAACCGTGTGTTGGTCCACACCTTGTTGTAGAGAGAAACAGAACAAGGGTGCTCTCTTTGACCTTGTTCTTCTCTTACCCTTTGCATAAATGCTGTGCCCAAATGTGTCCTTTCCTTCAGCTTAAGACATAGCAATGATATTTCTGCCATTTGTTAAACTGCGAGCGTGTTCCTTTCCCTCTCCTCCAAGCTCTCATCCCACACCTGCGTTAAACTGGTGCGCAGTCTGCAGCCCATGGCCAAGCCTTCCATGTGCCAATGGGATGAGCTTCAAAGCACTGTGCCACTGGGGAAAGGAGGCTGGAGTGAAGGAGGGGTTGGTCTCCATCCGCAGGGAACGGGGATGGGAAGGGAGGGGATGGGATCAGGGTGCAGCGGGGAGGGTTGGAATTGGGAACAACCTGTGCTGCAAAGAGCAGCCAGCACTGCACAGCTGCCCAGGGCAGCGGGGAGCCCCCATCCCTGGGGGTGTTCAGTGAGCACAGGGATGTGGCACTGGGGAGACGTGGGCAGTGGGATGGATTGGGGTTGGATTGGGGATCTCAGAGCTCTTTTCCAACCACAGTGAGTCTGTGGCTCTATGATTCTATGCACGGTGTTGGAGAAGATCAGCTGGTGTCCAACAGCAGGAGCTGACAGGGCTGTGCGCAGCTCCCTTATCAGCACGGGAACCTTCTGCAGAGCTGGAGGTGGGCAGCAGACGTGGCAGTGCCCACAGTTCTCACTTGTGCTTCTTGGGGTTCTGCAGAGTGTCCCCTGACGGCGGCGGCTCAGCTGGAGCTCAGCACTGAGATGATCAAAGCCCTGCGGAACGGGGGAGCGCATCTGGACTTCCGCACGCGGGAGGGAATGACGGCGCTTCACAAAGCCGTGCGGTGCCGCAACCACGCGGCGCTGCTGGTGAGTCCAAATCCCAGTGCTGGTGAG